TAACCAGAAGACATTTATAAGAGATTAACGGAAGGGACCTTGTAGGTCATCTAGTCCAACCCCCCGCCCAAGCACGAGACACTACACCACTTCTGACAGAGGGCAGTCCAGTCTCTTCTTGAAAGCTTTCAGGGATGAAGCTCCCACAACTTCTGAAGCCAACTTCGGTTCCATGGATTGATTGTTCTCACTGTCAAAAAATTCCTCCTTATTTCTAGGTTGAATCTCTCCTTGATCATTCCATCCATTATTCCTTGTTTGGCCTTCAGATGCTTTGGAAAATAGGTTGACCCCCCCCCTCCTCTCTGTGGCAGCCCCTCAAATATTTGAAGACTCCTATCATGTCTCCCCTTGTCCTTTCCTTCACTAGACCGGCCATGCCCAGTTCCTGCAACCGTTGTTTTAGCCTCCAGTCCCCTCATCATCTCGATTGCTCTTCTCTGCACTTTTTCTAGAGTCTCAACATCTTTTTTATAGTCTGGTGACCAAAATTGGATGTAGTACTCTAGGTATGGCCTTACTAAGGCTTCACAGAGTGGTATTAGGACCTCCCTTGATCTTCATTGTATCCCTCTGTTAATGCTGTTTAGGATTGCATTGGCTTTTTTGGGTGCCGCTGCACACTGCTGGCTCCTATTTAATTTGTTTTCCACTAAGACTCCAAGATCCCTCTCACAGTCACTGCTATTAAGCCTGGTTTCATCTAATCTATTTGTGTCGTTTTGGTTTTTCTTGCCTAAGTGTAGGACTTTACTTTTCTCTACATTGAATTTTCTTTTGTTAGAGAGGGGTTTATACTGTTTCTCAACCTTGCCAACACGAAGATGCCGTGAACACTCGGAGTCCACCCATGTTAAAATTCACAAGGTTGAGAAACACTTTTTTTAAAGGAGGCGATTTGCTCCCCTCTGCTGGATTATCTTCATGCTGAGCCCAGAAAGCCTTCTGTCAGCCATCTTTCACTTCGATCCTTGCCTACGCCGACAAGTTGGACTTGATGACCTCAGGGGACCCCTTCCAATTGTAGAATTCCAAGATTAGCAAGTTGCCCAAAGGCAGCACTTTTGACAATTTTTGGCAAAGCCTCTGAAAGTAGCAAGCTTTTCTGCTCTAAAACAGCTCTTGTCTTTAGAAAAATGACTGTGGGCAGTGTGCTGCTTACATCTCTCCCTCCCTCCCTCCCTCCCTCCCTCTCTCTCTCTCTGAAAAAAAACCCAGCAGTAGCTGAAGCAACTGCTGCCCTGGTATAAAAAGATTAAACACCAGGCGTGGCTTTTAGCCTTTGCCAACGCCCTGAACCAGGCTTGGCCTGGAGCAAAGCAGGCGAAACACAATCTATTTAATGAGTTTTGCAGCTCAGTTTAGAGCCCTGCAGAGAATTTGGTGGGGAAAACACCCGGCTGGGTGGAGGAGACAATTGGGGAAATAATAATAATATTTTTTTTAAAAAAACGGTACCCACAATTGGCAGCCTCTTTGCAGCTTTATCTTCCAAATAAGTTCCCAGCGAGTTAGCAGCTACACCACCCTGCAAAATGTCGCTGGGGATATTTTCAGCCCATCCCTACCTTTGGCGGTGACCGCTTTGGGGGAAGGTTTAGGCGTGGGAGATAATTTGACTTCAGCATGGAGGCGTCAAGCTGCAAGCTCATTTATCTCCCTACCTGTTTTGATGCACAGAATTCAAGGCCCGATTTTCTGTTTCAAATTTTGAGATAAAGGCAATGCAAGATCTAAGGGTTCCCTGCCTTTATCTCCCTCTCTTTGAAGTCCAGGCATTGCTGGCAGCGGAAGAGAAAAATTGCAACTCAGGGCTGAACTGTGGGGGCCTTGTGTTGGTGGTTTTCTTGCAGACGTTTCATAACCCAACTGGGTAACATCATCAGTGCTAGAAGGGAGTGGGGTTTGGGAGATGAAGGAGGACAAGGAGGTGGAGGACAATGACTGTGGGGTCCTTGGAGCTCTCTGAACATAGTTGTTTTCTTGCAGACGTTTCATGACCCAACTAGGTAACATCATCAGTGCTAGGTGGGAGTGGAGTTTGCAGAGAGGAAGAGGAAGGGGACTGTGGGGTCGGTGGTGCCCTCTGAGCTTCCTTGTTTTCTTGCAGACATTTCATGACCCAACTAGGTAACATAATCAGTGCTAGGAGGGAGAGGGGTTTTGTCCTCTGTTTATATATATATATTACTTGCCCTGTCAGTATTGGTGGGAGTGCTCTTTTCTTCTTGGTAGTTCCTTGATTGGTTTATTGTTTGTAAATAAACAAACAGAAAGCCCCACTCCCTTTTAGCCCTGATAATGTTACTTAGTTGGGTCACGAAATGTCTGCAAGAAAACAACCAAGCTCAGAGAGCACCAAGGACTCCACAGTTGTTGACCACCACCACCACCACCGCCTCCTCCTCCTCCTCCTCCTCCTCCTCCTCCTCC